CAATTCGTCCTCGATAATAATCAAAATTTATTGGTTCGGATGAATGGGATTCCAAACCCAACTAAAAGAATGATATAAGACAAGTAGAAAGCTGGAAACACTCGTCTTAAATGGGTACATCAAGTCGTAAAACTTGATCTCGAAACTCCAAGCAAACAAGAAAACAAAGACAAGGGTTTTCAAAGGTTTTGCAAAAGTCCAAGGAAGTAAGAGATTTCTCCCGAAGGCCAAAACGAAATAAAAAATGAAAATTGGTCAAAGTTTACAACGAAATGCAAGTTCGAGAATACACGCGGCTCTATGCTTCACAATGCACATGCTCCAGGCTCGACTACCCTCCTTAAAAGATCCTTCATAATCCTTTAAGGTAAGACACCTTCCTTGAATTAGTCGACGACTCCCGATCGGAGAAAAAATGTTTCTGATACGTCATACGATTTAACCACAACGAGATGAATGACCGTCGTTGGCCTCCAGGTCAAGATATCATAGTGGCTTGCGCCGACCTTTGCGTTCTCGAGTGCACGGACTCGGAGTTATCGCAATCAAAAATCACAAACTTTGCGACAATTAAGGTTTAGCAGAAAACAAATATGCTTATCCTTTTTCGTACACAAAGTCTCTAACAAAGTTAGTTCCAAGTATCAAATACAAGGATTGCACAACAGTTTGAAAGATAGAACACGGAAAACGGAAAGATAAATAAATGGCACACGATCTCGATATCCCGGTCAATTGTCCACTCTTTGATCAGTTCATCCCCGTCCGAAGTCAGAGCATACACATGGGATTTTGCTTTGTAATGACCAACTGTCGAGCAGAAGAGTTCATCCCCGTGAGGGTTTAACCACATTCGTCCATCGTTGATCCTATCTGGTGTAGATCACCATTCTCCTTCATTCGCACCTGAAATGAAACGACACGATCCTCTTCTGGCCTCAATGCCAGTAATCGGCATAGCGAATGATAACAGAAAGGTTGAGTTAGAACTCTGCGTATACAGTACGCCAGATCCACTTGAGTTTACGGAGTCATTCCGTCAAGCTGTCAGCCTCCGCGGTCGACGTTCATAATCCACGCCATAAAAGTAGCCATCGCTTTCCTCAAGATTTCGCCATCTTCGAGTATCACATTAGTAGTACTTCATCGATCAACAGAACTCTTCAGCATCAGTTGACAACTCGTTCGAAGCTTTAAATCCCAATCATCGCACTCAAATGATTGGATTCCACCAATGCTATTCCGGTCCACTTGTCAGTTGCCCCAGACGTTCGAGTGATTCCGCACATTTGGAACTTCTCGGTTGTCTAATCTCAATGAGGCATCCTGACGTTGGTCACCAGAAAGCCATGGTGCATCAACGCTAATCTCATCTTCCGACGAGATAGCTCGTACAAGGTGTTAACTCGAAACTTACAGAGAGAAATTTCTAGAGTCATCACCAAACACTAGAATTCAAATTATAACAAAGGTGGATAGTCCTAAGCCCCATAAAAAATAAATAAAACAACAAAACTCATACCTCGAGCTGGCGCGGCAAGACGAAAGCGAGTGGTCGAAGGGTCATTAAACACACCAACACTAGAGATAGTCTACAGAAACGCAGACTAGCTCTGATACCATACTGTAACGCCCCATTTTATTTTAAAGAATTTACCGAAATTATTTATAAAAATCAGAGTTTATTTTTCGCAAAAATCCCAATTTAAAACTTTAACATTGAACGGGCGCTACTTAAACAACTAAAACAAATAAACATTTACACAAATAAAATATAACCGTACAAAATAAAATCCCAATTATAATAATCCTCAAACCCAATCGAGCATAGTTAAATACTTCAACGGAAAATTCATGGTCTAATCAACATGTTCAACTTAATTTAAAGTGGAAGCATAAATGTTCAAAGCCAAAAAATTGGTCAATCGAGATAATAAAAGAAAGGCGGAAGCAAATAACACATAATCCAACGACCACCACTCGATCGTCTCTCACTGTCATCGTCAATCAATGCTCAACCTAAAAAGATAGGAAGAGGAACAAGAGGACAGAAAAGTAAATGGGGATGAGTACAATCATCATACTCACCATTACTGCACAGTATATTTCGCATAAAGATCTATAATCATAAATAATGTATGCATAGAATCCAGATCTAACTCCCAATTAGGCCCTATCGCAAACCTCCTATGTACATACAACAAACCTCCCGACCAGACATCGGTGATGATGTAATTGGAAGCACTCCCACCCCGGATGCAACGGGCGTAGGATCTTACCAGGAGACAGTGAAGTTGAATTACCCCTCCGCACTACACGGATTCGGGCGTTCAGACAATCGCCTCCGCTCTACACGGATTCGGGCGCCCACCTCCCGGATGCAACGGGCAGGTGACTTCCACTGATTATGCATTCGTCAAAGGCACTATCATCAGGAAACTTATACTAGGGTTCTCACGCATACAAAAACCATAGCTACAAACATTTATACGAAATAACATGTGCGATAAATGTAGATTCAACATTAATGAACCCACCTGGTAGCGATCGAGTCAAACACAAAATAAATGGTAGTCGGCGAGGTCGACTCGTCAAACACCTACATTTACTAAAATATCCTTATCAAAGACTATTCAAAAATTTACTTAGTTCAACTAAGTTCACGTAAGCATTCAAGCATGCATTAAATCAAGGGAGACACATTTCAGAAAATATCACATACGTTTTGAAAATTTAACCCGGGCAGCGTTTTTAAAACCGACATAACTTTCAGCACACAACTCATATGAACATGAATCAAATTGCATTGGAATCCTAAGAGATGGATCTACAATTCTTATAAAGACACTGAAGGCAAACAAGGTCATTTAATAGGTGATAATTCAACAAACATCAAAATTTGAGTCACAGTCCAAAACTGGAAAAATAAACTTGACCAGACTTCAGTGATTGCTATATAACTGGAGCTACAGGCATGATTTTAACGAATTTCAAAATCCACATGATAGATAACTCAAATTTCTACAACTTTCCTGAATATTATATTGGCAAATAATCACATTATACACGAGTTTCAACAAAAAACATGTGATTTAGTAAATCTGTGAAAACTAGCATGATGACATGGACAGCACCTCAGTTTTTAACATTTATTTTGAGATACAGACCTTCAAATGATATGGTTCAAGTCTCAAATTAAATCTTAAATATGCCTCTACAACTTTTATTTAGAACATAGCAGCATATAAGATCATTTTGATAGGGAACAATCAGTTCACATTCAATATCAGATTTCTGCCAAAATAATAAGTCCCATCTCATGCATGTCTAACTTCATAAGAGCACAACTCGAGCTACAGAGCACGTATCAATATGAAATTTATCTCATTTGAAAGGCAAGAAACAGACCTATAACTTTCATGAAGAGCCTAAATTTATACGAGCACATCACGACATGATAAACAGGTCATATATTAATTTCAGATATGCTGTCGGGTAAAAGGAAAACTGAACGTGCAACATTTTTACAAAAATCATAACTTATTCGATATAACTCGGAATCAAGAAATTCCAAAGCCCTAAACATAATACATTTCATAAGAAGACCACGATTTCAAATAACCAATCTCAGATGGTCTAAAACGCGGCACAACAGATCAGCGAATAACGTGTTTTCACATAAAATACCAATGAATACAAGACGGATGGTTCGAAACTCGACAACGATCAATATACTTTCTCGACAGCAAATAAACGAGCACATTGAGGTTCAATACAGCAACAACATAATACTCGGTTTAGCGAAGTTACGAACATGATCCGATAAACGAGACGACATATACGAGCCGGTAAACAATTCGAAATAAATTCCGACTTGAAGCAAGAATTGGTAACACATATGATAAATTTATCTATCATGTAATATACGAGCATGACCGAATAACGAGAGGATTCGACTAAGTTACCCGCTTTCGAATATCTACGAGCTAACGGAAGAAAAACGGGCCGAACGACGGGTCGGCCGAACGGGTCGAGAATTGGCTCGCGAACGGAACTCGGAATAACGGAATGGAAACGAGGGTGGCCGTGGGCTTGCTTCACGCCGGCAGCAACTCGCCGGAAATGACGTCGGGCTCGCTGGGGGTGGTCGCCGGAAGTGGTGGTCGCCGGAAGTGGTGGTGAACTCACCGGAGGTCGGGCCTGAGGACAACGGCTTGCGGAGGTGCTCGAGGCCACTGGTTTGCTGCACGCGGAGGAGTGGCTTGCTGGGGAACTTTCGCCGGAAAACAGCGGCGGTGGTCGGGGTGCGTGGGGAGCTCACCGGTGAAGGTCTGCTCGCGGCCTTTGTTGCTGGCGCCGGAACTCGTCGGAGATGAGACCTTCGATGGAGGAAGATGAAGGGCGAAGGTGATGAAGATGCGAAAATGAGGAGGATGATGATAAAGATGGTCCAAGATGGTGAGAGTTGACGACGGGGAAGAAGAAGATATATATATTTTATGTTTTTCTGCTCGATAGGATTAGGGTTGAAAACGAAAACGAAATTTCCCGACCGAATCGCATCGTTTTCTACATTTGACCCGATCGTTTTTCACTTTTTTCGGAATAATTCGAATTCGGTTCGAAATTCGAACAGAAAATTCGAAAACGGAGCGGAATTCGATATGGGCCTTTTTCGACCGATTTCTACATTTCTATATTATATTCGGTATGCAACCGTATTTAAAATTCGGAAGGTTTCGAATTTGGTCCAATATTCCCTACAGGTCACATGGCCCACAGGCCCAGTAGCCAACTTACAGCCCAACCCAAGTTAACAACCCTAAGTGCTTGACAATTTACACCCACCTCCACTCCCGTATTCCCTATTTCCCTCACTTGCCTTCTCCGTTCCTCTCTTCCTGGCGGCCGCCATCAGTCCGTGCCTGCCATTCCCACCTCGCCGGTCGCCATTCCCCACCCCGCCGGCCACCGGTCGTCACTCCCCACCCCGCGCGTCGATGGCATCTGCTGGAGATCGTGCTTCCGCTCCTGGAACAAAGGGGGGCAAGGGGAGCAAGCCCAAGACGAGGAGTGTGCGTAGCCTTCTAGAGCCGCCGCCCGTACAGGCTGCAACGACGTCTCCAACAGCAGGTTCGTCTTCCTACCACTAAATTCATTTTCGTTTGTGCACTGCTACTAGTTGGTGTCAAATTTCTTTCCTTTCAGGTCACCAGATCTAATCAATTATTTCCATTTTTCAAGACCCTTTTATTCGGGTCAATTTTATTTTATTGGTGAATTTCCGAGCCTCTGTAAGCTTCTATGTATGCATATGAGTTATGACCCCAGCATGATTTGTCGCTCGTGGGTTCCGGTTCACACGTCCTAGATTATTTGGCTATTTTAGATTATTTTTTTTCTAATTTAGCAATGTTTCACTTGGTTGTTGGTAGGATCAGGGAGTAGAAGGGAAGCATCTCAAAGTGTTGCATCTAGTGGAACTTGTGAAAGTCCAGCTACAGTAGCATCAGTGGCAGCATCAGTTGAGATTGATGCAACAGAGCAGGTTCAAGTGCCAATTAATGTCGACAATGATGAACAAGAGGATGATGAGCAAGCTCGCCTTTCTGGCAAGAGGTTTAAGAAATTGACATCGTGGGTCTGGAGTTATTTCACCAAGAAAAAAGAGTATGTAG